TTGTACACCATATCCGGATTTCGACAATTAATGTCTCTTCAGTGATGTTAGGAATCGAAACGGTATTTGGAAGGCCATATAATTTACCTCAATTTGGGATTGACTCTTGAATTTTGAAGAGTCGAAATAGGATGAACGGATCATATAAACCCGAAGGCAAATATAATACAAGCCCAAACGAAAAAATATAAACAAGTCTAAATTGAAAACAACGTTCAAACCTATGATTGCGTTGGATAAAAACCGCAATTTTTATACGTGTGCATGCAAAACAAATTTCTTGGTTTAAGAACATCCGTTGTTCGACCTGCTAGTCAAATGCGTTTTGTTAAAATATACTTTTTCACTTTTTGGTCTTTTGGAAAATGTTGTTTGTGCTGTATTTAGACCCCTCTACCAAGAAATTTGTTTTGCATGCACACGTATAAAAATTGCGGTTTTTATCCAACGCAATCATAGGTTTGAACGTTGTTTTCAATTTAGACTTGTTTATATTTTTTCGTTTGGGCTTGTATTATATTTGCTTTCGGGTTTATATGATCCGTTCATCCTATTTCGACTCTTCAAAATTCAAGAGTCAATCCCAAATTGAGGTAAATTATACGGCCTTCCAAATACCGTTTCGATTCCTAACATCACTGAAGAGACATTAATTGTCGAAATCCGGATATGGTGTACAAATTTTTGCACCTCATGTTTGCGGTATACCATCTTTTCCGCAAGTTTTTTGTTTTCTATTTGGTATTAGATTAAAATTAAGATCCATTTTGTTACATCTGTGATCCGTTTATTTGGCAATCGCCATGGCAGTCAGCAGGGTTTAAGAACATCCGTTGTTCGACCTGCTAGTCAAATGCGTTTTGTTAAAATATACTTTTTCACTTTTTGGTCTTTTGGAAAATGTTGTTTATATATATATATATATATATATATATATATTACAATGAGGAAAACACATAGAAGAGAGAAAACTAAGGAGCACAGTAAAAAATCAGAAAAATTCAATATAAACCAAATATTCTACTCAAAGGCCTCCCCCCTCAAAAAAAATATTACAATAACATTTGAATTGAATGGAATAACTTATAAAAAATGAAAACAACACTTTATAAATTTCATGCGTCCGAAGCGCTTTTCTAAATTTACTTTCCGGCATCCAGATTGCTCAACGCCGAATATTTGAAAACCAAGGATGTATAAGAACCGAAACAATTGAAGAGCTAAATGACTAAATGGGCCTAAAAAAATAGCTAAACCCATCTAAGGTCAACTTTTCCTGATGGGGTTGAAACCTTAGTTTCTTTATAATTTTCCAATTTTTTAAACGGACAATTTTTAATGATTGATTGTTGTTTGCTCAACGTCCAGTGGCAAATATTTCATGCATGTTCAAGACGAGAACCAATTAACTTTAAATCGAATATGTAGGTCCTGTAACAGAGGACGTTCGGGATGAATGTTGGAAAATTTAGGCTGCCACTGAAAATTGGAGTATATTGAATATTGCCCCTCGCAACAGGCCACCTACGGACCTCTCAAAGAGCTGTTGCAAGAGTCTTAACGTGAAGTGAGCGTGGCACTTTCTTTGGTGTGTGTATAAAAATGGCTTTAATCTATATTTTTGAATAAAGCATTGTTAGGCTTAATTATAACGCTATTAAAACAAAATAATGTAGGGTTGATAATATATTTTTATCACAAATACAAATACTAATTTACCTTAATTCTATGTTATTAAATATAAGGTTCTAGCACCTTTTTCTTACGTCTTACCAGAAAGGAAGTCTGTTTATTTACATTTTTTATCATATTCACTCGAAAAAACGTAGTCAAACTCGATAAACCCGATCAAATCACTCGAAAAAAAAAACACGAAGCCGGACACTATACCTACCGTGTACCACATACTTTCGAATGATTTTTTATCTATTTTTGAAAATTAAAGGTAGCTCTATAGGTACTTAAGTATAATCTTAGGAGTTTTCTTAGTTTAAGGGGTTTTATACCCCTTACGTTTTGTGGGCGTGACTTGAACCAACTAAGATTTTACTAAGGAAATACTTAGTTTAAGATGTCATATGCATACCTCTTAGGTAAAAATTCGTAAGGGTTCCGCGGAACCCAGTGTCTCGCCTACTTTTTCTGTTAATCGCAGGCTCAACAAAAATGAGGAAGTAAATCAATAAAAATATTCCTCTTGATACTATCTTTTGATTGTAAGAAGCTTCTGTCCAAGTTTGGTAAAAATACAGGATAGTTTATGAATCTAATAAATGTTTAAAAACTTTAACTGCAGACTGAATGTAATGTTAACTGGAAGAAAACAAAATTTCCTTCTAGATACTAGCATTTGATCATAAACAAGCTTCTGTCCAAGTTTGGTACAAATCCAAAATAGTGTAAGAAAGTTATTAAAATTTTAAGAACTTTAACCACAGAGTGAATATGTTGTTTCCTGGCAGAAAATCTAAGTCCATTAAAAAGTAAAATACAGAAAAAATGGATTTATTTTTTTACAAAATTTCCTTCTAGATACTAGCATTTGATCATAAACAAGCTTCTGTCCAAGTTTGGTACAAATCCAAAATAGTGTAAGAAAGTTATTAAAATTTTAAAAACTTTAACCACAGAGTGAATATGTTGTTTCCTGGCAGAAAATCTAAGTCCATTTAAAAGTAAAATACGGAAAAAATGGATTTATTTTTTTACAAAATTTCCTTCTAGATACTAGCATTTGATCATAAACAAGCTTCTGTCCAAGTTTGGTACAAATCCAAAATAGTGTAAGAAAGTTATTAAAATTTTAAAAACTTTAACCACAGAGTGAATATGTTGTTTCCTGGCAGAAAATCTAAGTCCATTTAAAAGTAAAATACGGGAAAAATGGATTTATTTTTTTACAAAATTTCCTTCTAGATACTAGCATTTGATCATAAACAAGCTTCTGTCCAAGTTTGGTACAAACCCAGGATAGTTTAAGAAAGTTATTAAAATTTTAAAAACTTTAACCACAGAGTGAATGTAATATTTCTCTGCAGAAAAACTAAGTCCATTTATAAGTAAAATACGGAAAAAACGGAATTTTATTTTTACAAAATTTACTTCTGGATACTATCTTATGATCATAAACAAGCTTCTGTCCAAGTTTGGTAGAAATCCAGGATAGTTTAAGAAAGTTATTAAAATTTCAAAAACTTTAACCACAGAGTGAATATTTGTGGACGCCGCCGACGACGCCGACGGAATGTAGGATCGCTATGTCTCGCTTTTTCGACAAAAGTCGAAGGCTCGACAAAAAGGGCGTAGTTTACTAAGTAGCTTTATGCATACGGGCCCAGGTCATTCACTTTCATGAAAGGGGGGGGGAACATTTGGATTTCTCTTATTTTTTTTAATTTTTGTCCCCACCTTGTCTTTCGTGGAAGAACATGTTGAAAAATATTATTTGTATCTGAAGAATTGACCCGAGCGGAGCGGGGCGAACGAAATTGATGTCTTTCCTGTCAAAATTTTGTATTTTTGTATTGAGAGGGGTCTTTGGGTGTGGGTCGCTTAACTCCATATCTCCAGATCCTAAAGGAAAATTATTCATGTAAAGACATATAAAAATGTCACACTTGACTCCTAGAAATCATTTTGAACCATTGAAATATTTGCTCAATCACGAGTTTTACGATTAATCATGTAAGGAAACAACGGTTAACATTATCAGTGTTTGTTTCATATGGAAACTGACACTACTATAACACAGTATAGTAGTCTCTGATGGAAAGGATATAATATTAAGAAAATCTTCTAGTAAATCTGCTTAAACTAAGACATCAAACTGTTATTCTCTATTGTTTGTCATTTTTCATGTCAAACAAAAAAATAGAAGATGGTCATGACTAGCAAGTATAAAACATTTTAATGAGGCTGGAAGGCAAAAATTATGACACAAGAGATCTGCTGAATAATCAGATACTGATTTAGAAATGTTGTGAAATTTTTGAGACCCCCCCCCCCCCTCAAAACCCCCGCTGATCTGAAATATTGATAAATTGGATACCCCTTATCATTCCCCTAAATTTTCAAGCCCCACTTAATTTCCTCCCCACCCCTTCATGTTACAAATGACCATTCCCTAGGGGTGTTTGACGACCTTGACTACCTATGAGGGTATCGCACGGTTGGTCCCGAAATATGCGCGTTCCCCGTATATTTATAACGACAGACTAATGTGCAAGAACGATTATTAACAGGCAATTTGGTTGATCATAAAAAAGGGAATTAAATATATCGCTGTCGAAATTCAGAATAATAACGTTTTGATAAGATGAATGGCATTATCAATGATTTGTATTATATGTCTCTGGTATTATACAACATATTACTTTCATGAAAATTCATTGCACTATTCAGGGGCGGATCCAGAATTTTGTCAGGGGGAGGTCACCTTACGAACTCTTATAAAAAAAAATTTTGTTTTATTGCATAATATATTCAATAAGCTCTTCATTTGAAGGGGAGTACACAATGACGTCATTACGAAGCAGCCAATTTCTCTGAAACAGTCTGTTCTTATCTGCGTATTTCTTTATCATATGGGAAAGTTATGTTTTAATGCACGTTGTTTAACCAAACAAAGTATTTATGTGCTAAAATGCTCCATCTATTTTGAACATATGTGTACATAATTGAGCACATGCAATTATGTACACTTCAACATTAGCCTTTACTTTCTAAATACAATAGAACAAACACAAGTTTGGATACTGAATGGCGCAGTGACCACCTTAAATTTTATTTTCCTAATACAATATGTATCTGATCTGGTTAAGTCCATCAAACTAAAATAATAAAGTCCATCAAAAACACAAGATACACTGCCTGACAGAATCTTGGACAATATCATGTTCTGCAACAAAATAATCTACAAAATAAATACAACACATTTAAATACTGTTCTATATAAAACTTAAATACAAATATTTTGTATACAAAAAAAAACAAACTTCTACCTATATATATGACGTGCGATTGTGTGGTCACTACCCAGTCCTCGATAACTAAAAAACCCGTGCAATTACCTTTTATACTGACCGCCAAACCGGTTAACGGCAATAGTTATACAACTTATACAAAATCCCCATTATAAAATTAATGCGCAATCTTTCAAATTCATTCCGCATACCGCACATAAATTCATTTATAGTTTGTTCCTTGTCGAAAATTATTCCTTTTCAAATTATTTTTTGTTCATTTGTAAATTTGACGTGTTTTTTGCTTCACATGGCCTATGTCGTTTATACCTATATGTATGACGGGGTTGTTTCATGATAACATTCACCATTATTGCTCGTATCAATGCTAGTTCCACTACGAGTCGTTAGTACTTCAGAAAGGACTGATTTGTGGCGTTTCCTGAAGGACAGAGGGTAAAAGTTACAAAAAATATAATATAATAATTTATAGACAATTGATAGAAGAGGGGTATAGGATTAAGAATGTTAATAAGACTCAAAAACGAAAAAAAAATTTTTTTTTAATTTTGGCATCACAGTAGAAAACCATCAATGGTCGAGGAAAGTTGCCATACATATTTAAACTTTTTAAATTTTGATAAACGTAATATAAATAAAATTAGTAATTACCTACTGAAAACATCTAAGACTGAGGACTATCTCTTCATTTTCACAGCTACACATCAAAGGAATCGAAGAATTAATTAACGATTGCTTATGGTTATACAAAAAACATGTGATCAGCAATCAAAATATCAAGATACATGTAAGTTTTTCGCCTTAAGGTAAGTTATTACCAGTGATAGACACATTGATAAATTAATCAAAATAGTATGATAAAATATACATGGTGCACCATGTTTGTCAACCCCAGAGAGGTCACTTGCACCGGATGACTACCCCCTGGATCCTCTGCTATTTGAAATAAAGTCTCATTATGCATGTAGACCATGCAACCTGCTCAGTGAAATATCCCAATTATGGAATCGACACATACAGAAAAAGTCATAAAAACACTAGGATTTCTGTGGACAAACACCAGAATCTTAACATTAAAAGTCAGGAGCCAACCATACATTGGATTAGTAAGCTTTCCACCGGTTCGGACCCAGCCACGAAAGCCTGATTCCATCTACAACATAATAACATGTACAAAATACATAAAAAGAAGAGCCGCCAGATATTTGACAAACAATTATAAATTAAGATATATTGTGTCTCAAACATGATAAATCGCTGTCGCAGGCAAAATGGGACAACACCTCCACAGGCACTTATCTCTGAAAAAAATCGTAGTCTCATATATATATATAACGGTAGATATGTTTGGGTTTTTTTCAGAGACAAAACTAGTGCATGCCGCCATCAGCCAGGAGGACTAGATAACACATTTTTGAAAATTTTTGTGTTATATATTGTAGAGTGCTTTTTATATTATTAATAGTTACGTTTATTTGGTTGCGTGTCCTTTAAGCACTTGCCCTTGTTGACTCCTGCATTTGGATAACTACGATTTGTGTTCATCTGCATCAGCCACGAGAAAGACTAAACTCACAAACGTTATTTCATAATGGATATGATGCTGATGGTGGTGCACGGTCAACTAACACTGGACATTATGGTTTATTTGGTTATATTAATATGATCAATTGGAAATATAATGTATCTATCATACAGATACAGGTCAGCTACAGATCACTTACAATAGAAACAACTACAACAGCAATATCATGTATAATGAATCCAGACTAAATTGAAAATAACATGGATGACATTTCTAAAGAAGGGTGTTTCACTATTGCTTCAAGGAATAAAAATGCATCCAAAAACATACAAGCAGTGGTAGATTCAAGGGGCAAAATGGGCGTACGTTCCACTTTTTGTAAAAAAAAAACATTTTTGTTTGCATAAACTCATCTTGTCCGTATGTCCGTGTGTTTGCTTTTGAGATAAACGAATTTAAATTCTGGCGGAAAAAGAATTTTCTGGATTTACTAGAAATGTATCAATGTTGACCTGTGTAAAAATGTATGATCATAAATTTCTAAATATTTTTATTTTTACTCTAAGTGTATTGTTTGAGATGGAACTTATACAAGAACCTATAATATTGGTCCTATATTTGAGTTATGAGATTAAAAAAAATTGAGAAATATAAGGGTTTAAATGCTATAGACAAAAAAATAATGCAAAGCTTATGGATGAATTAAAACCAAAAAAGGGGCAATGTTTTAAAATATTTGTATGTTCTAATGAAAAAACAATTCATCTCTTGCTCTTCGATACGTTTGTTTGGGACACCTAGCATTTACACCAACATGTACTTGTTACATCCGTTCCTTGAACTCTCAAAGCTTACACAAGTGCTCATCGCATGCAGTGGAGACTATTTTGTTCTACAATTTCTATGAAAACAAGTGAAAGAAACACTATAATAAACCTGAAAATTGAGCAACACAACCCCATTGACTTACCTTGTCGTAATTTTTTTAAGTATATATCATCATATGATCTTATTTAGGCAACATTAAATATTTGTGGTCAGTGATTGACACGTGATAAGAGTATGAAGTGTTTTAAATGTCACAGTATTTGCATACTTGTAATTTCGTTGTTAATTTTCCTTTCGTTTATACATAAGGTGCATATGGATGAAGAGTAGCTACTGTACAAGGAAAGAAGTAAACCTGAAGTTGAGTTGAAACAGTAAGTATTAAAAAAGAGAAACGACAGAAGATACCACAAATTGAAATATCTGATTTAACCTCACAACATTTTGTGCATGTACATATTAAGGCTATACGGACCTTGTGTTGTTATTTGTCTTTTTTTTTTACATATGTTTTTTTTTCAGACGAGTCGGTGATTGGTGGGGCATAGGACATTTGAGCGAAAATAAAATTTACGCATAGAGTCATTTGAGCGCCCACATCATAGGACATTTTAGCGCCTGAATATCAACCTTACCTGGTTTTTCAAATAGGACGTCTGAGCGAAATTTCCTGTGATACGTTTATTGTTTCGCCTTGACGGAGTCAAAAAGCGAGACATAGGTATACTGTTTCCGGCGTCGGCGTCAACAATGTATTAGTTTGTGATAAGGTCTAGTTTATGGTGAACCACTAGTGGTAGGTCATTGGTATTTGGTATGCAGTTGTATTAGCATTGGCACATTTCATTACCATAGAGATTTTTTGCCCCCGCCCCCTCAGTCATGGTCTATTGACTTTGAAACTTTGCTTAGTTAACATGTATTAGTTTGTGATTAGGTCAGTTTATGGGGAATCACTAATGGTAGGTCAATGATAATTGGTATGCAGTTGTATAAGCATTGGCATATCTCATTTCCATGCAGATTATTTGGCCCGCCGGCCCCTCAGTCATGGTCTGTTGACTTTGAAACTTTTGCTTAGTTTTCATGTATTAGTTTGTGATTAGGTCAGTTTTAGGGGAACCGTTAGTGGTAGGTCAATGATAATTGGTATGCAGTTGTATTGGCATTTGCAAGTTTCATTTCCATGGAGATAATATAACCCCACCCCCTCATTATGGTTCATTGACTTTGAAACTTTTACATAGTTTACAAGTTATAATTATAATGTTTGTTTCCTTCGGTTCCTTTTTTCTTTATTTTCAAGTCTAATGTAATAAATTCAACCAAAAATTACTATATTTTTTATCGAACTGAGCAGTCTACGTATTTATTTTCATGCTAATCTATAGCAAAATGGAATTCGTACCAACATCGTGCGCAACGTCATTATGATTCATTGGCTATGCAAAGTTAGGATATAATAGGATATCAATTTCTAGCCCGAACTGACTTGTAAATAATGCCATTGCCGAGTTTGACGTTTAATGATAGTGCTTTGTTTTTTTACAATCAAAAGATGTTTTAGGCCTGAGAGTAACGCATCCCTGGCTTTGTTTCAGCGTAGTAACGCCTGGGAGTAACGCATCCCTGGCTATGTGCTGGTTTATGTTGTTTTATGTATCCGTTTTTATTCTGTAGTTATTCACCACTTCGGTGTTATCATGTAGATCTATTATATAGTCATTTTTATAAATTTACTGTTTGCAAAAGTATGAATTATTCTAAATTCTAAGGATTTTCTTATCCCAGACATATAACCTTAGCCGTATTTGGCACAACTTTTTGGAACTTTTGGTCCTCAATGCTCTTCAACTTTGTACTTGTTTTGGCTTTCGTACTTTTTTTATCTGAGCGTCACTGGTTAGTCTTGTGTGGACGAAACGCGCGTCTTGCGTATTAAATTTTAAACCTGGTACCTTTTGTTAGCTATTATTCGTATGTTTCTCTGTCCTATATGTTCTCCCATTTATTTGTATTGTAGTCCCCTCATGTAATGTTGTCATTTTAATGTTATATTTTACATTGCTATAAAAGCGGGAGGTTTGGCTAGCCACAAAACCAGGTTCAAGGCAACCCAGCATTTTTTTCTTAAAATGTCCTGTACCAAGTCAGGAAAATGGCCATTGTTATATTATAGTTCGTTTCTGTGTGTGTTACATTTTAATGTTGTGTTTCTGTTGTGTCGTAGTTCTCTTATATTTGATGCGTTTCCCTCAGTTTTAGTTTGCAACCCGGATTTGTTTTTTTCTCAATCGATTTATGAATTTCGAACAGCGGTATACTACTGTTGCCTTTATTTGTTCCAGCGTAGTAACGCCTGAGAGTAACGCATTCCTGGCTTTGGATTTCTAGGTTTGAGTGTTCCTGATGAAGGTAAATCCAAAGAGCTACGGACTCGCCAAATTAATAAGTGTTTAGTTTTGTTTTCTTAATTTGATTTCCGTTACTATCGTCTTCGTTCCTTGGCCCGTTGAAGTAATGAAGTAAAGTTATCATCATATCTGGGGGTTTCCTACAGAATTTTACTTCTTCACACTTTTTTGTTATAACAAACGGATTTATATCAAATTAGAATACAAGCTAGAGAACATTATCACGGGCATGATAGTACATAAATGGGGTCAATTGTATTAACGCACTTTTCATACTAGTGAATATATATGCGCGTGTATTTGGGGACACGGGAGGAGGGGGCATAAGGGACAACTACCTTACCCTCACTATTTGGCCAAAACTATTGAAGATAGAAAATGAAAATGACAGAAGACAGATGCTATTATAGACAGTAGAAAAGATGTTTTTGTTTGTTTTTGCTTTTGTTTGTCACTTTCAGAAGTTTGCCCCCTTTTAGTCTACTCCTACGCCACTGATGCATAGTTCAAAACAATATTTGTCTGCAAAAATTGATATAAAATTTTAAAATACATATATATATATATATAACATATAAAGTATTGCTACACTTTTTTGGACTTCACTTCATACAACAAGTCTATCGATATTAAGTCAGTGTCCAGCTGGTGAATACCACAACTATATACATGGCATTTTCATTTACTTCGTTGTAAGCATTTTCACAAACTCTGAAAAAGACAAAATTTTAATTCAATATTTTCAATTTTAAAAAGTTGATGAAATGATCTGCTTTATCAATAACGATTGCAGTTGTTCAACTAAGCATAAACTGCAAGAGATAAAATTGCTTGAACACATTTCGGATTCTGTCCATCGAATGTAGTCGCTCAATTTACACTTACCCTGGGCATATGCACAATCTTGCTGATTTAATCCCTTAATATAATTGTTAAAACGATACTTACATTTGGTCTCAGTAGATGATATACTCTATAATCACATAAAAACATATCATCAATTTGCACTTTGCTACAATCTGTAATTGTTTGTTGCTGAATTATAAAGAACGAATTTGTTCTTTAGAAAGTACATTTGTTCTTTAGACCGTACATAACTCATTTTTTAAACATAAAGACTAGATTTTGACCATGCGTAACCGCCATTACCATCACAATAAACTCTTCCATCGCCGTCTATGTCGACCTCCTGTATCATCTCTTCTACCTCTTCCTCCGTCATTTTCTCTCCCATATTTCCCATGATGTCACGTAATTCTTCTACAGTAATAAATCCATTTGCTTCCTTATCGAAAACTCTAAAAGCTTCCCGAATTTCACCAGCTGTGTCTCGTGACGACAATTGTTTTGACATCATAGTTAGAAATTCATGGAAATCCACTGTACCATCACCTAAAGTTTTTTTAAGTAAGATATTAAACATTACAAACTGCCAGTAAATCTCTGGAGGTTGTTTTACAGCGGTTCTCAGATTATCTTTGGTTTTTTATGAGTTGAACATATGAATGCAGACACTAAATTTGTTGCAAAGAAAGACATGTATTTGTGTATTTTTTTGGTCATAAATCTTTGTTTTTTCTCGTTTGTGTTCGCTTAGAGTGCGGGAGGTCGTGGGCTCGAACCTCGGCCGGGTCAAACCAAAGACTTTAAAATTGGCATTTGCTGCTTCTCCGCCAAGCACGCGGCACTAAGGAGTAAGAGCAAAGACTGGTCGGCTCGGAGTCAGAATAATGTGTCCGGGTAAGGTGATATGTCTTCCTGCGGACTGTTACATTGTGAACTAGCACGTTAAAAATCGTGTCGGTCAAGTACAAAGCAGGGTTCATATTCATATTACATTAAAATGTTCTCGTCCTGAATATGCATACTGATATGCCGCTGGACGTTCAGCAGCCATCCATCATCATCATCGCTTGAATTGTTTCACATTTTGACATGCCTTTCATAGCCACCTTCGCGTTTTGAGTTTAGATCATTGTTGAGGGCCGTACAGTAACCTATAGTTGCTTTTAGCCATATCATTTCGACTCTGTTGTATATTTGTCCCTTGGCAATCATACAGCATCTCCTTATTTTTATATCCTTGTTGTTTGATTTTTTTTTTATGTTACTTTTCTACTTTAAAAATAGAAAAAAGACAAAATACTATATGCCTGAACGATAGAAATGATCATGATAATTGCCATTAAATTTTTTAGGCTTCCTTTCGATCATCATGGATTTCAGTAAGGCTTATGATCTTCTTAACCATGCTATACTTTTAGAAAAGCTAACATTTTATCGTATCGGTGAACATATGATAAATTGGATAAATCATATTTGTCTGAAAGAAAACAAAGTTTCTTATTGATATTGATATTCAACACTACAACTAACAATCTGTCTCTACTAACGATCTATTTGTTCCAAGACCAACTTAAAATTGTCGTAATGTGGAATTATTCAAGAAACATTGTTAAATGATTTTCTTTTATGGTAAGAACTTGAAAACTTTATTAATTTTTGCCATTTTGATGTATGAATGATTTATGTATATCTATGTTGTATTTTGATGTATGAATGTAAACATGCCTCTCTAATTGAGTTACCCTCTATATATCATCATCATCGTCGTCGTCGTCGTCGTCATCATTATCGTCGTCGTCATCGTCGTCATCATCATCATCATTCGTTGTCGTCGTCGTCATCATCATCATCATCATCATCATCATCATCATCATCATCATCGTCGTCGTCGTCGTCGTCGTCGTCATCATCGTCGTCGTCATCGTCGTCGTCGTCGTCGTCGTCGTCGTCGTCGTCCTCCTCTTCCTCGTAATTGTCGTCATCATCGTCATTGTCGTCGTCGTTGTCCTAGGAGGTGCGTTTGTTTATGTGTTTTAAAATGTTTTTATTCTAGGAATAATTTTTCATACCGTCTGCGTCAACTTCATCTATGATGTTTTTCAACTCTATATCTGTAGGATTTTGGCCTAGAGATCTCATTATAATTCCAAGTTCCTGAGTAGTTATAGTACCATCTCCGTCCTTATCAAATAGACGAAAGGCTGCTCGACATTCTTAAAAAAGAAAAAAAAAAACTAGATCATCGGAAATGAAGAATGAATTTCTTGATTAAAATCACAAACATATAAAATAGAAAAGAACCTTCTTACAGCAGAAAAAAACATTAAAACCGTAAAGTAAGCTTTATCGCACAAATCATGGCATTATCCTTTGACTTTTGCAATTGTAATATTCAGTAATGACTAAAAATTAGACTTATTTTAGTCCAAGCTGCTTGAATACTGCCATGTGATACAGAAAAATGGAAAATAACTGTCTTATTCCTGACAAAATGCAAACACTTCTTCAAGACAACGAAAATATTGTGCACAAACGAGGGTTGTGGCTCTCTGAAGAAAAGCTGACTTTATATACTTTGGTCTGTTTTAATATAATGCTCTGAGTATTTGCTTTCTAATGATTGGTCTTTAACATAGGACCACATAGTCTATGAAGTTAATTCCATAAACTTGTGTCGTTGACATTGAACCAGCAATATACGTCAATGCTTCATACTAAATTGAAACCTTGTTGGCTCATTTCTACATAATTTCTTAACAACTAACTGAAGGTATATTATACCGTAAAGACGTTAAACTAAGGCTTCAATATCGATTGCTGTATATGTGGTGTATTACATATATATTTTTGCTTTGCCACGTGTTAAGAATATCATTGACACATCTGAATTTCTATCCACTAATCAAGCTTACCTATTGTTCGAGTATGTGCACAATGCAATGAAGTTAACCCTAAACGCGGCCCTTTAACGATAGAAGGAGAGTAGCGGATACACACAAGGATTGCCGACTTCAGTATGCGTATGTGTTAGTTAGACGTTAAACATTGGATGAGGTAACAAAAGGATGTCTACAAAACATGTTATACCAGTTTGTTTCTAACAAACAACCTAACTTCAAGTCTTTGCACAAATTTCCTAATCAAAAAGTCTAATTTTATGTAAATGGCAGGTCTTCTTGTAAGGGAAATTATCAGAAGCCATTGACAAGGTTATATTCATACTTTTCATATTCATGTTTGTTCTTATGTGCAATGTTCGCCAAATTTCTTCAATGTGTCCCGTTGTCATACCGGTTTTCGGTATTCTTGAAGGTCCCATCATTACTGATTTCGATTGCAACTTAAAATAGTTCAATTTTACACACCGTTAGCTTAAATGAATGCGAATATTATGATTTGGTTGTCGTAACCACCTTGGCTGTCCAATACAAGCCCAACGTAGTTTCTTTTGGCTTTTTGGATCCTGACGACTATTAACGGTTGTTGTTTTTTTGTTTGTTTTGTTTTGTTTTGCTAAATGTGTTTCTTTGGTTTGTATGTCTGGGTTTTTTTTTGGCAGTATCCAATCAACAGCTGTATCATACTTTCTGTATCAGCGAGCACATTTTGATCCTCCCTTCCAAATTATGTTCTGTATTTTCTTTCCTTGTTCAAGATAATGATCGTCCAGTTAGAAAATGCCCTGTGCAGCGTTTTTTATTTTTATTATGTGTTTTTATATGGTCTAGATATCCAAAGGAAGCGGTTAGTGCGCACGTAAAAAATCCTTTCACATCACAACATGTGTTTCTTCAACGAAGTGTAACGTATAACCAGTAAGGCGTTTATATCTTAAACGATTCGTTCCAGTTAATACTTGGATTCAAGCTGTCCATAAACAATACGGCAATACCAAAAAATCTACATCTATCTATCTGATATGTACAACGAACTAAAATATACACACTGACTCTTTGTCGATATAAAGTAACAATGAACAATAATATATACAAGTATTATACAATCTAACAGTCTGTCCTCCTGGGTTTCTTTGATTCTACGTTTTTTACAGGGATTATAAATTTTTGATAGGTGATTATTTTCAGCTTACCTGAAATTTGCTCTTGGGTCAATTTGTCGACCTACAAAGGATATACGAATTTGATAAAAACATTATTTTCTCTTCCTCCTTTTTGAAATAGATGAAATAATGCCGAGTTATGAGAGCACACCATTACACAATCGAAGCAAAAGTTTTGTCAAACATTCATTACAAAGTCAATATAAAGGTAATTACGTGCTTGAGTTTGGTTTTGGTTTTAATTTCCAAATAACTCTTTTATTCAGATAAACAAAAAATGTCGAAAAAAAAACAGTTGATAGCCATCAATGAGCATTTCATTGGATTTGTGTTCAGAAATATGAACCATCGTATATGATTTATTAGTTACTTAGAGTAAAGTCTATAAGATAGGCGACATTAGGTTTGAAAAATATTGATATTTCGTATTGACCGTTACGGAATACCTGTTTCACAGATGTCGATGGATATGTTCCAATTGTTGTAATCCCAATCCCGTCCTCTTTCCCTCGAATATTACCTACCGAATTAGACGTAGACTGGGTTTGTATTTACATAAACAAAACGGCGGGTGCCACATGTGGAGCAGGATCTGCCTACCCTTCCTGGGCACATGAGATAACCCCCATTTATTTGGTGGGGTTGGTGTTGCTCAGTCTTTAGTTTTCTATGGTGTGTTTTGTGTATATATACTGTTGTTTTGTCTTTTCGTTTTTTGTTTTTGCCATGGCATTGTCAGTTTGTTTTCGGCTTATGAGTTTGAATATCCCTTTGGTATCTTTTTCCTCTTTTTTATGTACTGAAACGCAGAAGTCTTTGTAGAACACATAATGATACTTTTACTATCAGGAAATGATTTCAAAAGTAGTCATTATGATTTTATACTTTATGAACAAAAAGCTAGAAAACACTCATTTCTTTTAAGTTGTCTCTAATGAAAGTAAATTTGCATTGAATTTATATCAAACAGACAGGTATTGATTGTGCTGGATAATAAAAAAAAAACCTAAATAATTGTTGCACTTGAGAGTGCTATTAAAATGAAATGACACCGCAATGCCAGTTGAAAGGGTTTAGTGCCACGCTCTCTGAGCGTAAAAGAAACCTTACAACAACTGCCTGAGGGGCCCGGAAGTGGCCTGTTACAAGAAAAAAATATCTTACCATATCCGCCATACCGTAACTTTCCAGTGGTTGTCAAAAAGTCCCGCCTGTCATCCCAATCAATCTACCTTGATTAACCTACCTACATATTGTATTAATTGATAATTTGTCCTCGCCCTGAATATGCATGAGGTATTTGCCACTGGACAATAAGCAAACAACAATTAATAAATCAAGTTAATTACTGTTTATTAGCTTCATAGTTTTTGTCAAATTAGTTCTTAAATGTAAAAAACGGCGCTAAATATTGTTAAACCTTACTTACCATTACTTTTATCACTAAAACCTAGTGCTCATCAATGAATATAGGGACTTGTGGATGTTTTATGACATTGGTTGTTTACGACAACCCATATTTAAATTCAAGAATGTGATCATTTTATTCGTGAGTGAAATCGTTTGCTTGTTTTATTCGAATGATATTGTTTATTTTATATATAACATACAGTACATTGAATCGATGTTATTAAATTCGGTGCATTCTAAAGTTCTTCCGATGTATTTTGTGAAAACAGTTGTTTCAATGGAAAATAAGATTTTTTTATTAAAATTAAAAAAAAATGCTTATTCGCAAAGAAAATAATATACCACAAGAGATGAATGGTTGAAGTATAGATGGTTCAGAATAGGGCTGTTATTATTATTTATGATAATTATATAATACTAACTTTGTTTTGTTCTTATTTTGGATACATATATATTTTCTGTATCTGCCTTATAATTCGATCAGCTATACTATTTTGTGTGTCCATTCTTTTGAAACGGACTTTAATAAAAACAAAAACAAAAATCCGGCCAACGGTATCCAAAATCGCAACGTATAAGACAACAGATTATGGTTTACTTTTCGCATGCTGAGAAATACTTAAGTCCATTACTTAAAATAAGGTGATGTTGTATGAAAGCTTATGAAACAAATATCCACCAAACTCCAAATTGCGTGGGTGTAACAAGTTATAGGCCACCGTAAAGCCTTCAACAAAGTAGATACAATGGATAAGCGTTGGTTCGTAAAAAAGATACCACGAACCCGTGTAAGAGACGTTGGTGTGTGGGTCATTTAAATTGTAAATTTATAACATTTTAGTGCCATCTTTTTACTAAAGCTTTGATATCCCGAATAGTTCAATTTGCGAATCACTACATAGACAAATAAACACCTAGTAATCGTAAGTCCGCACAGACGACACTTTTACAACCCTATAAAACTATAAAAAGAACTATTCACTTCATATAATTACAGTTGGTCTTATAATGCCTAAAGCGTTTATTTTTGTTTTTTTTTGTTTGGTTTCGGATATTCCCAAGCACAGTTATGAGGTTTTTTTATTGAGAACTCACAAGGTTTATTTGACATAAAACATGACTAACATCACGTGATCAACGGCTGCAAATCAAAATAACGGAGTCCTTATGCAACATCTAATTATTTTTTAAGAGAAGTTACATCTAAGAATACTTCTATACACCATTAAACTTTACTTACGAATAAAATTACCAGTGATATTCTACTTGCAGCTAGAAGTGACTTAACAAACCATTTGCCATTTCCTTATTATAAGTTGATAGTTATTGATGGTTTTAGTCATAAATGTAGTCCTTCATACTGCTTATTTACTATCTTATTTATGAATATATAACCAACCTTTCTATATTATTTATGAGGACATGCAATTGCTTTTACTCACTGCTCCTCTCATGTTCAACTAAAAAGCATTGGAGTTTGTATTTGGAAATGAAAAAAAAACCACTTTATAAATTTCGTGCGTCCGATGCCCTTTTCTGGATTTAACCTCATAACAGAACGCTAAATCTTAACATTTGGAAGCCAGGGATGTGTTCATAAATAGAAACGTTAGGAGCTAGGTGATCAGACGGAACCTAATAGGCGTTTTACATTTCAACAATTTTTGTGAAATTACACGACTTTTCCGCATATTGGTTTGTCACATTTCAACAACAACACAATGGTATTATTCTAACAATAAGACAGGATACTGAAGCTGTATTAGTAGGTATGAAGAGAATGTTAAGATTGATAAAAATTGTCTTGTAGTTTCAGATAAGAACAGTTTATCTAATTTTCTCCAACTATTACTAGCAGAAGAAGACAAGATCTTTAACAGAATTTTCAAAAAGGAGTAGATAATACAGGTATTTTCAAAACTTTGTAAAAGGGGTTGGGGTATGATTTTTTAAAGAAAATAAGAATATCGTTTTAAAACGACGGGACTATGTATACCTAGGACATGTGTGGTAGTAGAGCACTTTTCTGTTTCTTATATCGTCTGCATGTGAAGAAACGGCCGACCAGCTGACTTTCGACTTGCTTACTTTATATCACATATGTCCACATACTTTTCGGTTAATTCATACACGGATAATAGAAATCGAATCCAGAGTCCTCGTCGAAAACAGACGTTTAAAGAGAAACGACAACGAGCAACTGATGGTTTCGGACTGAAATGGTACAATCACGGAATGTGATCGAGTTTACACGTCTTACATGCACATAAACCAATCCTTTTACATATATAGATAATTTTTCACAAACTGAATAACAATACACAATAAAAAACTGCAATGTCCATTGACCAACATGATGACCACTAACTTGCATATCTTTGACCCTGCTGTTTACGTATTCTTTTTATTTAAAAATGACTAATGAAAAATTAGGTTCCATCATAAGCCTTTCAACCCTTTAGCTTTAAGCTATTTTGAGACATTTATATTTTAGGCACATGTAAAAAAAAAAGAGTACATGGATGACGTTGTATTGTGAAAAATTAGGAGATGTGGTATGATGTCAATAATATACTATTATTCAACACATACGAAAGAACAAGAATGTGAACAACTTCAGGTCACCGCACTACCTTCAACAATGAGCAAAAATCATACAGTAAAGTAAGTTACATAAAAGGCACCGGGATGACAAACGTGGAACAATTCAAAAGAGAAAACCAACTTTTATGCTAAAACAGTTAATGAAAAACAAATATAAGACAGTAACAAACGACAACCACAGTATTACATGATTTGGGGCAGTGGTATTTACAGTTAAGCAAAAAAAAAAAAAAACAACTTTAGATATCAGTTAAAAAGGGGCTAGACTTATCACACAAGTACTATAAAGAACTAAACCCAATAAAATTATCAATTATACAAAGTACTAACCCACGAGTACTCGCAGAACAATGCTGAAAGTTAGTTCAAGACCCAAACTCAACTAAAAAAAGATCTTGTTTTTTCCAGACTTAAATATCGATTAGTACACCCCAAACTTATTTAGGATAAAGACGCCATAGGGTAGTCTTGAAGAAGCAGGACATTGCGCAACGCCAAAACAAGTATAGACAGGATCCAGGTCCATATGGTGTTAATAACTGGGTATTATCAATAAATTCTATGTTATATGTATCAAAGTTTGGAAAATAAAAATGATGTTGGTACTGATAAAGGCAATATATAACAAAAATTTAAAGTCTTTAAAGACTACTTTAAAATGTTCCAAATGTAAAACAATTCAAGAAAACCTTTGTCAATACATTATTTCGTCTTGATCTGAATTAGAGGACAGTCATTTGATTTTCGAGGGGGAGGGGAGGAGGAATTAAAAAATGAAAATGCTGGCCTGGCAAGAACTGAAGATAAATAATCTTGCCTTAGACAGGATGAAATGCATCCAATTTCAGGACATAATTGTGTACGGAATTAAAAGCCAGCCTACCATCCGATGAAAATAACATTCTGTCTGCGGAAAAAATAATCTTGCCCCACCTTTCCTCATTGATAAATGGTCGTCCCCTTACAGTTGCCATTCGAGTAATCGAGACCCAAGTCTTTTGACCTAATTTTGCTTGTGGCCAAATAGAGTTAATTGATAAAGTAAATGGTTTTGGACAGAGAAATTTCACCGAAAAGCACAAAATTTTATTAGCTTCTTTCATTTATTTTGTACACAAACTATATGTCAGACAAAATCGTTTATTTTAGTATTAGTTTTGAATGTAAGATAGAGATTCATAAATCAAAACAATTACATTTTATATTGCATATTTGCAGGTTCTATAAAACGAAAGGTATTACTGTGACTTGACTGTAAGTGTTGCTCTCCATTGCAAGTTATTCAAAATTCTGACCAAATTGCAATTTATTTTATAAAACCAACTGTCCAAATGTCCAAACTAAGCTTTCATACAATTTTTCTTTTGAAGAGAGTCTTATATATTCATAAGAATCAGGCATCATTTGAATTTAAACATCTTATATTCAGTAAAATATGTGTGAAATTGCGATACGTTGTTAGGAAGTTTCCATGGGAGATAATAAATTTTTCTTTCGAAAAGTCTTCTATATTCAAAGAATAATGATTTTAGGTTATCTCCAATGGCAACATGGAAACTACAAATTCTTCGGACATCTATATACATTTCATACATATATCGTAAAACGAGGTTCGTTTGAATTTTCAAAGTGAGAGAAAGTACAGTAAATGTACATTTTTTTGGTATAAAAACATCATACTTGTGATAATTTTCTATATAGCAAATTTATCTTTAAATCTGATATAACGTTAAATTTTGCAACATTAACTAATACGGGACACACTTCATGCATCATCTGATTCCCATATTCTTCGACTCCGAACGCTTTTAAAGAGAAAACGAATATTGCGTTATGAAGGTGTTATGACGTCCATGAACGAAGAAACAAAATGGAGCAATTTCGCGGAAACAAAGAATCTACTACGCACGTTTTAAGTCGAACAGCATAATGCAAAATGTAACGCGGGACAGAACAAAAATTACAATTTTACGAGCTTTGGACTATTATTTCTCATAAATTTATCATCACACTGCATAATGCTTGCAATATTAAAAAAGATGATAAAATAAACTTTCCTTTGATATATCGCATGTTAGCAGTACATAGTTTTAATTTATACTGATAAATGTTCAAAAATAGGTGGAGCCCGTTTTTTTAAAGTAACACCATCATCTTGCGGC